TAGACTATTCACGTTTTCTCGCAAAACTTTAGAACCTTTAAATAAACTTTGAGTTCACAAGCACCCCAGGTGTTGGTCGGGCTCTCTGTCGAGAGGCCCAGTTCAGTCATGGTTGAGCTCATCACCCTGTCGTTGCCTTCTGGCATCATTATGAGTCACAGAACCTCTCTAAATCTGACCAATCACGGAACACCGATGGAGAATCTCTTGCACTTACTCAGCGACATGCTTCTGTTTGGACACTGTCCAAGGTGCTGAAAACACAAGCGATGAAAGCTGACTTATACACAGAAAGCTCACCATCACACGTGATACTAACTCAGATGGAAATATGTGTTTATTTCCAGCATATCTTGTATGTATGAATACATATATTCATACGTACAAGATGTGCTGTTTTCAGGATCCTTTGATATAAAAAGCTATGTTTTTGCAAATTGTCTTAATTGTCACTTTTGATTAATTGCATTGCATCCTTACTGAATAAAATTATAAAATTTTACTTTTAGACATGCACTAGCATATAGATGACTGCAAAGGTAATTACATGGACTAAAATTATATATATATATATATATATATATATATATTTCAAGGGGTATTCTTCTTTTCTTTTTTTTACATTCATTCCAAACCCATTATTGGTCTTTTTTTCTGGTGGGCACTTTTTTTTCTGGTACGAATATTTACACCAGTCCTTTCCATACAAAAACAGTTTATACTTCCAAGATCAAAAAAAAAAAAATCAAAGAGTACCATGTAGTAGTCAATATGACTTCAACCTCCATTATATTTCAAGGTCTTAAACCATACAATACATGTGGAAAACACACCACAAATTAAGTAATTTACAACAAAAAAAATATTTTTTTGAAGACTCTTCGAAAATGATTCTTCAGAAATTCTCTTTGTTTTTCACAGGTAAATGTATACAGGTTTGCAGTAACATGAAGGTGAGCAAATTATGACCATATTTTCTAGCTGAATTACTCAATTAATGGGGCTCTGCTACAGTTTCCAGCAGGCTTATTAGATCCAAATAAACTTGTGCCATATAAAATGAAACCTGAAATGTGTGAACAGATGCTGATAGTGTTGAGCTGCAGTGGTCAGTGATCTCTGAAGGTCTGTCTCTGACACATGGCTAATGAAGCATGTGTCTTCAAGCCTCTGAGATCAGAGGAGTTCATCTAAAACACACACACACACACACAGTCTCTCTCAGCTTCCAGCCCACTCTCTATGTAAAATTCAAAGCAGGTGAGCAGCAGGCCTCGCAGCAAACGTGTTTACCGAGCCTGTGACGCACATCAGAAAGAGAGAGAGCAGGATGGTGCTGATGGAATGAGGAGGAGACAAATGGGAATAGGAAAGAGAAAGAGAGAGATGCTGTGAAAGCCAACACAGTGATCCATGAAACAGGATACAGAGCGCACATGTGCTGAGTCAAAGTGATAAATTAAACACGATTCCTAAAGCACCTGTCCCTCATTCCTAAAAAGTGCTTTAAGCATAAGTAGACAACGTATGGCCGGAAGCTAGAATTATACTTTTTTAACGTTTACACAAATGCATCGATTCGCTTCATAAGGCCTTTATTAGCCCCCATAGACCTTATTCAGAGCAGCGCCATGACAGGTATGAAAGTGAGGCTGTGAGGGATAGTCTTAAGGTGTTTCCAATGGCATCCGCTGTAAAAAGCTGAATAAAGCGGCTAGATTACTTACAATTTTCCACAACTTACATTGTCGGGAGTTTTTTGTCAACTGTAATTTCTTGGAAAAATATTTTTCCAGTGTTTCATGAGCAGAACAATCCGAAAAAACAGCCCATTGAAGAGATGCAAGTCTATCCCTCACAGCCTCGCTTTCATTCTCATTAAAAATCAAAGATGGCGCTGCCGTGAATAAGGCGTATTAGCCCTTAAAAATCAAGCTTTAAAAATGCTCTTTATATGTCTATGTGGGGTTTTTAATATGTTTTAAGACAAACCATGTGTAAATTCATGTCAATACCATTGCTGAGTATTGTCTCCTTAAAACTGCAGTGCGACGCGGTTTGAAATCGCAGGCGTTTCTGACGTCACAAATTACCTCGTAACCAATCACATCAACGTATTCTAATTTACATATTCATAGAACCGCACATACTAAGGCAGCAGAGTTACATTCAAGCTATTTTAAGGCATGCAGAATTTTTTTTTTCAAGGGAAAAACATTTTAATATGTCATTTTGGTGATCGAAGATGAGTTTTAAGTGAAAAAATTATTGACTACAGGGGGATTTAAAAAATGTGAAGATACGAGCATCTCAGCCGGCAGCTTTCAATTTTCAAATGTGTATCTGTGTAAGCGCTCTGTAAAGAGCCTCAAAGGTTTCCATTTGAAGCGTTGATCATTGAAGCCAATCACAGACAAATCTTTTGAGCACATGAATGCAATGGCCAATCAAAGGTGTTTGAACCTGATGAAATCTCTTGTACTCAGGACAGCTCTAAAACACACCTGGGCAAAAAAGTAGTACTGTTGTTACTCAACTGTATTGTCCTCCAGGGTGAAATGCAAGAGGTTTATTGAGGATGGAACATGTGAATGGCATGTTTTGGCACGTTTTACTCTAAGGAGCACATTCTGTACATTCTGTTAGTTGCACTTTCCCAGGCAATCCCAAAAAATCCTGACATTCCTGAGCCAAATTTCATAGAGACTTGGGTCACATGACCTAGAGTTTACTCAGAAATCCTTAGCAATAGCAACATCAAACTACCTTTCTGTATTTTTGTCTACTTTTGACCTGTCAAAACCATGGAGCGGAGCTTCTCAAACTTTAGCGTCCCGTGACAGGTTCTGTTCTAGAGAAATGCCTGGGCTGCTCTTGCTCTAGTTTTGTGCTCTGCAAGCCCCTTTGTGGTTATAAGCACTGTTCTCCAGGCATTTCCCCAGAGACTGTCAGGATAAATTTAGGGGCGACTTTGTGAGCCGAGCGAAAAAAAAAAACATGCTGAGTACACACACACACACACACTCTCTCTCTCTTTCTACCTCTAAATTTGGAGGACTGCAGTGCAGGGATATTAAAAAGCCTGAATCATTACTGCCTTCAGAGAACTTGATAAATTACAGACACATCACAGGGCTGATAGGTCAACGGATGGGCCGTAATGAGAGGGATAACAAACTGACGACAAACTCACTTTTACTTCTTTAGCAATAACCCACAGAAACTGGTTTATAACTCATGTCATTTTGAAACTGTTCGAGCTTGTGGAACATTAAGGGAAATATTTTGAAGAATGTCCACGCTGTTATTTTTCACACAGCGCAAGAAAATGCTAGCGTTCAGAAGGTGGTAAGATCCTTTAAATGTCTTTAAAAGAAGACTATCAGGCTCACCAAGACTGCATTTATTTAATACAGTAAAAACAGTAATTTTGTGAAATGTTATTAAAATAAAGGTTTTGTTTTTGTATTGTAAAATGTCAATTATTCCTGTGATGCAAAGCTTAATTTTCAGCATTATTGCTAATGCAATGCACAGATAATTTTTAATCAATTACACTATGTGGGTTTTGATCCCAATTGAATGAAATCAGTATCAAAAAAATCCATCTTACTATTTATCATAATTCATTTAAACTGCAATTACGATGAGAGTAACTTTCTAAATATAACATTATGGGTTTAATACAATAAGGTTCAATTTGTTATGATTGGTTAACAAATATTAGTTAACATGAACGAACAATGAAAATGTTCAGCATTTAAAATCAAAAGATGTATCTGTTCACATTATTTAATGGACCTGAGCTAACATGAACAGTTGTATTTTTGTTAACTAAAATGAACAGAGATCAATAGGTAGTTATAATAAATAAATAGCATTCCCTAACATTAACCAATGGAACCATGTTGTGAAGTGTTACTGAAATATGAAATATTGGGGAAAATGAAATGATACTATTTTTTAGGCTATGAAACTAAAACTGTCAGTAGTTGATGGCAATTCGTAATGAGTGAATCATAGAATCATTCATTCAACTGATTTGTTCAAACTAGCTGATTCATTCATGAAAGATGGAAGAGTCTTCATTATTTTTCTATAATTTAATGGCCTTGAGTCAATTATATCACACGAGCAAGAGTGCTTTCTTTCTCGAATATCAGCTTGATTGCAAAATGTGATATTCATTATAAAATGAACTAATCTTTTTTCGTGTCATTTGGTTCATTCAAAGAACGGAATGAACGAGTTGACTGGAAAAGATTTGTTCATTTTGATGAACGAGTTCGAACAGGAGGTTTACAGGTTTGGTTACCAGTAAAGCGCATTTTATGGAGAAAAATCCTGGAATGTTTTCATCAAAAACCTTAATTTCTTTTCGACTGAAGAAAGAATGACATGGACATCTTGGATGACATGCGGGTGAGTAAATTATCAGCAAAAGTTTTTTTTTTTTTAAAGTGAACTGTTCCTTTAGCTAATGGAGGGCTATTGCTTAAGTTATCTGGCTGTGTTGAGATGTCTCAATTGTGATTTAAAGGGTAAAAGATCAGATACTTTGGGTCTATCTGTGCACGTGCCTGGTGACCAGGGGCAATCAACTATAAAAAGCAGTCCTCGTGCACTATATTTCAAGTCTTTTAGGCTCATACAAAAGCTTTATTTGATGAAAAGATCCAAAATAAAGCCATTATCCACTATTAATGCATTAGCTCTCGAATGTCATTTCCACATGCGCATATTCAAACATAGCACACCAGATTTGACGTCATTGCCAGATCTGTTCTCACGAGTTGTATAAAGCAAACATAACAAGCCAATTTTCATTATGCAGAAGGGTGAATGACATTTAAGAGCAATGTGAGCAAATTAAGACAGAATTTATTCTTTTGTTAAAATTGTTCCTTTAAGAAATGCCCTTTTATAAGCTTGAAAAGAAATAGCTGGTTCTTAAACAAAAAAAAAAATAAAATAAATAAAATAAAATTAATGTTGTTTTGAGGTGGTGCCCTTAAAGCCGTGCAACCGTTGATAAACACAGCACTGCCAGACACTTGAGCTGTTATGTGTGTGTATAAATATAGAGATACCAATGAAATGAACAAACCTTTCATGCTCTTCTCCCTCACAATACCAGCCAGACACACTAACACCTCATCAAAATACATCACATAAGCACATGGCCAGTCGCAGCGCTTCTATGTTTAGAGAGAACGTCCAGGGGAAGGACGTCACCCCTCATGATACTAATCTTCGCATGAACAGTTTGTCGCATTCACAGTCTCGACTTGGCCAGCTCCTGTTATTCATAATTCCTGATTCAGCCGCAGGGAAACCCTGGCATTTGCCTGGAAGCCGGCCATGTTGCCGCTGCCCTTCGACCCGTGTCCTACACATTAGAGAATGTTTTTAGCACGCTCTGTAACGGCACGGTCTAAATCACATTACGAGATTGTAATACTCACATACACACTTTGTACTTTCTAACCTTGAGCTTAAGCATTTCAAAGAGTGTTAAATAACTGTTAAATAACAGTGTAGTTGCTGAAAGACATGACACAAATCACTGTTTACGTTACCTAACATGGTAGGCAGTTATGGTATAGAAGATGGTAAAGGCACCATTTAACGTTACTAACGTTATGTAAAATATGGAATATGGCACGCCATGGTCTTTCAAAGAGCAAATGCAAATGCAAAAAAAAAAAAAACTATGGTATTTACTATGGTACATGGTGTTCAAAATCGTATTTTTATGTTTTTGCAAGCGACATAAACAGCTAAATTTACAATAACAAAAAATATGGAGGTGTAGGATTTCACTATGTCCTCAAAGTGTGTGAACGGGTAGGTGAGCAAACAAACACACACACATACACAGCTTAAGAGAGCAGCTGGCTCTCTTATGTAAGTGCTGCAGCTCTGTTTCTCTCTCTCTCACCATCATCAGCAGCATGTGTAATGTCCTCCTTCGTGTTGCTATGGGCCTGCGGGAATAGTGCAGTGCTGCCACCTGCTGGCGAACGCGGTTCTCAACTGGATTCATTTTAAAGATCCTTTTTTACTTTGCACCTGAAGTGGCGACATAAACACAGTACCAAAGTTAACCATGGTATAAAGTAAATAAATATCATTAAAATCAAACATCGAAATGAATCTCTAGTCTATACATTACTTTTGAGAGCTTAGATGAGCGTGTTAACAGAAGTTTAATCTTTTTTTAGTCTTAATCGTTCAGCTGTCGGTATTATTAAAAAGGATTTTTGTAATTATGTCAAACAGGACTAATGTTTTAGATTGAGACAAACCACCTAATACCACAAAACAAATCAGATCTATTGCCAAAACTTACAGGTGTGCATTCTGTTGATTTTCCTTCAAAATGATGTCACTTCCGGGCGGATGATGATATCTTTTGTCAGTTAAAGCGATAACAACATTGACAATATATATATATATATATACACACAGAAGATGGAAAATAAATTAAATATTCCGTTATAAATGTCTAAAACTTCGTTGGCACCATTTCATTTCCATTTCCGTTTGTGAATCTATTATATAATAATATAATAATCTATTATATTGAGACTATTATATAACATATGAACACATTAATGAATAAAACCAAGACAGAAAGTGAATTCCCCATGAAATCGAGTTTAATAGAATTTAAAAATAAGGCTATGATGCAGTTTTAGCAAACTTTTGACAAGAAAAACAGTGTTGACAAGCCGTGGCACACACAGCAAGTCCAGTAAGATTTAAGGGATACAGCGACTACACACACAAACTCATCCACACACAAAAATGCAGTAATATTTCTCAATCATCTCCACACACTCACACAACCACCCAAAAAGGTGACGATAAACAAACATGAACAAAGAAACTGCAGTATACTTAAAAAAAATATACATGCATAGCTCAGTACAATAATCATGTTGATTTCCAAACGATCCATGGAGGTTATTCGTCATACGCCGTCTAATACTGTCAAAATTATTAGTCAGTTCCTTCAACATGACAACATCTGTGTCTGACGTAAAGCAAAACAATAACGTCCTTGTTCACAAACATGTAAAAAGTTACATTCTGAACCACAAAGTTCATTATGAAAAATAAATACTGGAATGGCGTCGACAAGGATATAAAGATTCCCTTTATGCGTCAGAATTTAAAAGAAACAAAAAGCCCAAAACCTACCCATGTCCCCATTTACACATAAAAATCCAATTTCCTGTTGCATTTGTTTCAACAGACATCAAGGTACAATAAAAGTGTCGAACAGAGCAGATACAAAAGGAGCGCAAACTCAGAATTAGAAAATACAAAAACAACACTCAAAACAAGGCCAGGGACATACAATATAGACAAAACCCATATTAATTATCTGGTATGCTTAGTGCGAAAGCAAACAAAACTAAATCCAACACAAGAAATACAAATCATTTATTATACAATCCCTGTCAATTTTTTATTAACATTATTTTGTCCTTTGTTTGTCCATTCAAGAGAGTCACAGAACATTAAAAAGCCTTGGCAATGCAAAATATTTGACAATTAGGCTGTATAGTTACGTGTTATTTGTTCTACGTTTCATCCTTTGGTAAAAGGGTAGACCATCTCTACTGCAATAAACACTACAGCGTATTAGAGCTGCACAATTAAGAGATTGCACCAACACGATTCTGCCGGAAATTGAAAGCTGAAATTGAAATGAAATTGGCAGTGTGAACGCAGCTTTATTCCTAACTGACAACGATTCGCCTGGCTATTAAACCAAAAGCACACCGAAACATTCAAATCTGCATAAGTGCTGCCGCTGATCCAGAGAGAGCAGTTGTCATGTAGAAGTATGAAACAGCTTCACAAAATGTCTTTTCAACCACACAGTATTGTTTTTTTTCTAGCTTACAATAATTCAAATTATCACAGAAGTACTGAGATAAAAGTTTATAGTTTGGAATCTGGATATAAACACTGATGTCTACGGTAGCAATAAAAAATAGAGCAAATCACCTTTTAAAAGTAAGGTGGTGCTTCAAATAATGATTGTATCAATTACATCGTTACACCAGTAGGTGGCGACTGTTGTGACTGTTAAAAAATATGTATTTTCCATTGAATCATTCATTCAAGAGATTTGATCAAAAACACCGATTCATTCAGTAATGAAGCGAGTCATTGAATCATTCGTTTAAACCAATTTAAAAAAAAATAGAATTCGAATTAAATAACAAAATGTATATAGACTGCAGTATTTAGCCAGAACCTCTAATAAATGAGATATTATTTTGTTCAGTTGTCTGTTCAGAATCGTCCGAGAATCGTGATCTTTATTTGAAACATTTCTTTTTCCAATTTGAATCATGCAGCTCTTCCTTAAGCCGCGTTCACACTACACACAACCAAGCGACCCGATACCATTCATTATCGGTGCGGATCCACCTTCTGTCGTGCCGCGCTCCGCTTGATTCCTATGGGTGACGTCACGCGACTTTGACGCGCCCGTAAAGCATTCTGGGAAGGAGGCGCTTCATTTAGAAAAATGCTGCGCGTCAAAAAGCTGGCCAATGCCCATCTTTATGCAAATGAATTCCGTTGAACGCGCTGCGACTATCCAATAGAAGTAGAGCATATGGAGACGGAGGGAAGTCTCTCGCAGGTCCTCTGTTCTAGACTGGCCGCTGGCTCAAAACCACGCTCATAGCGGTAAACTTGAGGAACGCCCATCAATGTACAAATGTGGAGAGACGTCGCGACAACACGCGACTGTCGTGTCGGACAAGTGGATCTCTACCGTATCAATGGTGAGCGGGCGACTTCCGGCGACACACGCGACAGCGACCGTTGGCGACCGGTGGGCGTGTCCAGCGACGCGACAAAGTTGAGAAATGTTTAACTTTATGCAAATGAAGGGGGATTTTCACGAGCGACAACCAATAGGAGTGAAGTCCGTGGAGCGCGTCACTCTTCAGCGCTGAGTCTGACCGAGGCAAGTTGAACGAGAAGTTCATTTTAACAGCCAGAAACTGTCCTATAACTGATTATATATCTCCGTATACATACAGTGGTGTTCATCGTACTGACTCCGTGACTGAATGGTTTCGGGAACCCAGATAAACCGGTATTTGGCCGTTTGCTGCAGTTAAATTGTCGCGATGGCAAAGAGCACTCACTGTTTCTCGTTCATCTTTAATATTATGCATTTTATGTACTGATTCCATTTACGCCGCCTTCACACTGGCAGTTGAAATCAGCTCCGATGCGGCTGCAAAACGACCGGAAGTCATTCATTTCCTATGGAGATTCGCAGACCGCATGCGAATGGGTCCGAAACGGGTCCGACCGAGTGCGGTGCGAAGAAAATCATGTCCGACATCCGACATTGGTCATCCGGATGCGTTCAAAAATTTGAACTCTTGCGAAAAGCTACGGACGGTTCCTATCCGACAATTCCAGCGGAAGTTGAGCGTTGCTATGGTACTGATAAACAAACCTGAATTATTAACTTTTAATAAAATAAATATTGATTTTATAACGATAATTTGTGATGTCATTTTTTATTTTCATGACTTTCTAACGTTTATAAGGGCAGTTAATACAATTACATTGAAGGTAGACATTGAACTATTGACCACTATATCACATTTTTTAGCCGACCTGACAACTTTCCTCACGCAGCATAACCCTCATCAGAGAGATCATACAGAACTGACAGAATCAAACTTTAATCTCTCCGCCATTTTTGTTCTACCCGCGTCCGACGCTTTTCACTGTGTAGTACGACGTCCGTTGGGAACGTATTGCGTATTACGGAGCTGATTTCAACTGCCAGTGTGAAGGCAGCGTTATATTTAGACTTTTCCTTACAACATATTTGTTTGTAGCGGCAATAAAACGCATTTGTTGTCTAACATAGAGTAACTTCCGTGAATGTCACTCACAAACAATACTAGGCAACCAGTAGTGGGGAACGCCCTCCAGCGCAGCCACTGGCGACCTGGCGAAAGTCGAGTGTAGTGTGAACGCAGCTTTATGTTGCTCTTTCCGGAGATGATGTTTGTTCGTTACTGTCTTTAAAGTGTCAGTAAGCTCTAGCGTGAAGGAAGCCCGAATTTCTAGAGCTCCGGGGCTCCGTATAGGAATGACACAGGACTCATGCAAGCGAGAAATACACACATACAGACACGCACACCATGCTGTAAGGTGCCGAGACACACCGCTCACGAGATCTATGCCAGACTGATAGCAAAAATAGCTCTCTGAGTTTCTATATACATGAACTACACAATGCTACCACTGCCATTGTGCACAGAGAAACCTCTGATCAATTCTGTGACCAACATAAAAAAAAAAAAAAAACTCAAGCAGCTAACATTATAACAGTTACATGTAAACCTTTAAAGGGATACTCCACTTTTTTTTTGGAGATGAGCTCATTTTAGAACTCCCCCAAAGTTAAACAGTTGAGTTTTACCGTTTTCAAATCTATTCAGCCGATTTTCTGATATTTAGAAGAATATCAGTTAACAGACAGTTTCTGGTCCCATTGACTAGGAAAAAAATATACTATGGAAGTCAATGAGACCAGAAACTGTCTGGTTACTGATATTCTTCTAAATATCAGAAAATCGCTAAATGGATTCGAAAACGGTAAAACTCAACTGTTTAACTCTGGCGGAGTTGTAAAATTAGCTTATTTCCAAAAAAAAAGTGGATTATCCCTTTAAGACTTTTAGCACAGGATTTCATATAGTTGTGGACGGACTTAAAGTTGTCGTTTTGTTCCTTCATTTCAACACTTATCTCTTCTGCCAATGCCAGATTAATATAAACAATAAATTAAATAAACATCTAAGCAAAAAATATTAGGGATTAAGAACAACACTATTATTGTTAATGATAATATCCGTATCAATAAGAAGAAAAGTGTGTCCGTGTGGGTTTGATCTAGAGTTCTCCGTTTATAACCCGAAGCAGTGATTCATCAGTCACTCACTGCGCAACCTGCCAGACTATAACATAACTGCGCTCCGGCTTGGCAGGAGCCGACTGCAGTTTCAACGTAGGTTCGGCTGATTCCTCATCTTCATCTCGTCCCAAACCACCATCCTCATCACCTGAGAGAACAAAAAAAAAAGAGATGGTTTCATAATGTCAGCAGAGCAGAATGTGCGCATTTAATGGGTTTAAAATGTGAGACATGCACAGCATCTGCTGCTCATGGACAGACAGGTCCTGGAGACAATGGTACTGAAGCTCTTACCGATTCTGAAGTCGATGTATCCCTCTCCTCCGCTCATGATAAGCATGCTCTTGCCGTCTGAGGCTGAAGAGTCTGAGTTTTCAGGCGTGCCTTCAGCTCCTGGCACAATAAC